TCAAACTTTCATACTTCACAATATTATTACTCCAAAACATGCTACTTGCATATTCATAAAAGAAATATTTTACATTGATAATGGGATTACAAACTATTGGATACAAACCGACTATTACAAAGTATTATATATTACATAACTACCCATGATATTGTAATTTATACAAACATAAACTGAAGTACAAAAGTACTATTACAAACTATTCTAAACATACTAGTTAGTTATCACCTGCAATTGTTAAAAATTGATAAGGTAAGCGGTGACGCTTAGTGAGTTCGATAATAGATACAATATAACGTTATGCCATATATATACTTCAATGTAGCAAAAGCAAAGAGGAACAGCGAGACATATGTGTAATCATGTGACAAGCGTTCATATCAATAAAAGACTTTATTCAAAGATATACTTTTCAATGCTTGATATACATCAATAAAACTTTGGCCCAAATGGCATAGAAGACATGCAATTTCTGATTAACATCTTGTTAGATTTCAGGCTTATAGTCATGTCTAACCATTTGCCAATGCCATAGAATAGAAGTCATTCTCTTACGGAGACATGATTTACATGGCTAGAGGCTACGTACCAGTACCAATGTGAATCTAAGTCCTTTCACTGATCACATGGTCAAAGGTATTAAAATTGCTATAAACATAGCGAATAAAATAATATGGGAAAATAACTCAGAATAATAACACTGAAAAGCACATAGCACATATAGCACATAACATACAATTGTTCCTATATATTGAACTCACCTTAAGTTAACCGGGGGTTAAAATAGTAATTTGGATAGCACTTCGGCTTTAAATATGACTTTCTACGTTGAAAATCTGGAGCTTAATTGAAAACCGGGCTCTACGAAGGTAAGGCTTCAAAACCGAAAAGATAAAATTTCCGGGCTTCTCAGGAGCTTCGGGACGTGTTTCGGGTGCTAAAATTGATACCGGGGCTTTGGGGAAAGTCAAAATAGTGAAAATATGGATTTAGGGGTGAAAAATGGCAAAATTCCAAAACTACCCGGAAAATCTCGCATGCCTTCTATTTATAGGGGCGAAGATGCGAGGGTCGGTCCGAGAACAAGAGTCAGCGAGACAGATGGCAGCGAGGGAGAGAGAGACACGCGAGGATGAAAGGTGAGTCAGCAGCGAAGGGGCACGCGGCAGCAGTAGGGCGAAGCAGGTGGCACTGCGAGGCGAGGTCACGAGGCTCGGATGCGAGGAGGCGTGGATGAGCGAGCTTCGGACACGCATGCGAGACGCGTTGGAAGTTCATAGGTCTGCACTTTGGTCGAATCAGTAAGCGACACGTGCCGGCTCCGGATTGGGCCATGTCTCGGATGATGCTGTTGCTTCGTGCGAGGTGACGTGGCCGGACACTGTTCATGCGAAATTCTCGGAAAATGTGCCCCAAACTTCTAAAATCCATAACTTTCTTATACGAGCTCCGTTTTTGACGTTCTTTATATGCACGTGTACCTAAAATTATGCTCTACAACTTTTGTTTAGACTTCGTTGGCTAATTTTGACTTTAATTTTAATATTATTATTTTTAACAGACCGGAACAGGAAAATGCGTTAAAAATTCATAACTTCTTCATCCGACATCCGTTTTCATCAGACTTTTTACCATTGTACTACAAATGGAAAGACCTTCGATTCTCATTTAGGATGTGTCGGCTAAAAATCACTCGATCTAAAATTCGAGTTTTTAGCTGTCTATTACTAAGCTGAAACTTCGAAAAATCATAACTTCCTCATACGAAGTCAGCTTTTGGCGTTCTTTTTATCGAATTTCTCGGTTTAACGAATACTACGACTTTCATTTAGATTACTAAGGCTAAAAAGTAGTTTATCAAAAACTCACTTTTTACGTCATTCGGCGTCGTGTCGGTTTTATCGCAGATCTTCGATTGGTCATAACTTTTTCGTTATAACTCGGATTTCGACGAGGTTTTCGCCTACAAGTTTTTAACGAGATTATTTACAACTTTCAATAATAAAATTTTACTTATTTAAAATTTTATGTTTTCGTTAAATTTCACTATTTGACTTTTAATTGGAATCTCATAAGACTTCCAATACTTTCTGAGTGATTCTAAACATAGTTTTACTTCATTTCTAGTAAAAACCATATGTTAGAACTCAACACTCAATTTCACATAGTATTTCACAATTTTATTCATTACGAAACACGATTTCAAAACGTGTATGTTACACAAAGTGAGACAAGTGAGTTACAAGGAAGTCCTTGATCCATTATAGAATCTCCGACATAAAATCTTGGGAGGTGATAATGATCGTCTGCCTTGTTGTATTTTGTTGATTTAAATATGAGGTTATAAAGATGATGAACTTAATACGATTACAAGTGTAGTAATCAGGCTAATCATGTACGTAGTGTGTAATTTATATGTGTTATTTATAGTCTAAGCTAATCAACAAAAAGTATGAGATTTTCGGGATCCTCCTTGAACAAGAATTTTCATGTTGTTTGACTTGGTATCCCCGGGTCTTAAGTTTAGTTGAAGTGATTCTCCGTTGAGAATAAGTCTTGTGTTGACTAATTCTGCACATGTGAGAAAAAGAGAGAAAAATATAGTCGTTATAAGTGTTATGAATTATTAGTAATAATAAACACGATCATGCGATATATTTAAGGATCCAGAGATTTCAGTAATATTAAGGATCCAGAATATGATTCTGGGATCCCATCCTTAACAACAATAATTAAAGATGGTTTAAATTAATTGGGTTTTATTTAAACTAGGTGCATAACCTAGGCTTCACCTCGAGAGAATTTTTCTTTTTTCTCAGACCAAAAGAGACAAATCCACAAAATATTGTAAATTATGGTACATAGGGGTCAAACCTACCAAAACACAAACATCTTACATATATGGATTGTGTTTGAAAAAAATTCCAGGGACCTTTTCTATAAATTAAAAAATTTTAGGGACTAAATCTATCAAAATATAAAACCTCCAGGGACTAAATCTATCAAAATGTATAACCTTTGTTGCAAGGACTAAATCTGTCAAAAGGTTTTGCAGGGAGTAAATTTGCCAAAAGGTTTTGCGGGGAGTAAATCTGTCAAAATATAAAACCTTTGTCGTAGAGACTAAATCCACCAAAAGGTTTTGCAGCGATTAAATTTGTCAAAATATAAAACATTTGTTTGTAGGGATTAAATATGCTAAAATATAAAAGTTTTAACTGTAGGGACCAAAAGTGTCAAAATGACTAAGGAAGTGTGGCAAAAACCTGAAGTGTCTAAAGTCTACTATTTATGAGGTGCATTGGAACTAAAGAAGTGTGGCAAAAACTTTTGTTGCAAGGACTAAATCGGTCAAAAGGTTTTCGGAATCCATTTACTCGATTTGTTAATGTCGATCCGATGCTGAGATTTTTTATTCAACTCTTGTCTCACCCAAATCACCGTGAATCGCCCTTTCGGACCTCCTGGGCAACACCATTTATCCTCCTTGTTCCATAACGAAACCAAGGAAAGAGTAACCTACAACTGGTCAAGTTTCTTTCTACTTCTGCCTGCACGAATATCCCCTCTCCAGTCCCACGAACCTCCATTAGCATTCACTCCATCCTTTACCAAATAATTCTGATTAGCCTCCATACTAAATAATCTAGGGACAAGCATTAACAAATAATTCACTCCATCCTTTACCAAATAATTCTGATTAAGCCCCACCATTACCAATGCGAATAAGAAGAGAGATATGGGGTCTCATTGTCTAAGACCACGTCATACTGAAAACTCTGAAGTTGGACAAGCATTGACAAGAATTGAAGAAGTCCCATATTTCAAGCATTCCCTGATCCATTTACGCCATTTAGTCCAAAGCCTTTATGTTCCATCATCGAGTCGAGATAGTCCCAAGATACCGTATCATAGGCTTTGATGATATCAAATTTGAAAACTAACATAGATTTCTTTTTATATTTCACCTATTCAATAACCTCGTTGACAATCAAATGACCATCCAAGATTTGACAATCTTTAATAAATGTTGATTGAGCCTTGCCTATGAATATGATAGAGGCGGAAGCACTTTTTTTAAACGGAGAGCCAAGATCTTGGATATAATTTATACACACTAGAAATTAGGCAAAAGGACCGAACCGGCTGGAACCGGCCAGAACCGGGAACCGGCTTCGGCCAAAATCAAGAACCGAACGGGCCCGGCGGTTCTACTGGTTCCCAGTTCCTACCGGTTCTTATCGTATCTTCAAATGTTTGAACTGATCTTCGAAAAATAGCATCATACGGTTCCGGTTTTTGCCGGTTCTACCGGTTCCGGTTATATCGGTTCCGATTCCTACCGGTTTCCGGTTCCAAAAATCCATAAAAATAACATCCCGACCCGACCGGTTCCATTGGGTTCCGGTTTAGAACCGGTTCCGATTCCGGTACCGGTTCCGACCGGTTCCCCGATCCATATGTTCATCCCTACTAGAAATCAAGCTAATGGGCTCAAGTCCTTCATATATGTCGAATTAGAGATCTTAGAAATAAGAGTGATAAAAGGAGCATTCACCCCTTTTGGTAATTTTGGATATATTGCAAATTCATGATAGCCTTCCAATAATTCAACTTTAATATATATATATATATATATATATATATATATATATATATATATATATATATATATATATATATATATATATATATATATATATATATATATATATATATATATATATAACCATCAATCCAAAAAACTTATTATATTTTACACAAAAACCCAAAAAAATATATACGACAGTCATCACCGTTTTTGTAATTTTGTCATAAAAATCTTGAAGCAGTTTGACCACCGAAGCATGTTTCCATAAACAGTGCCTTATCTAGTGCATGTCATGTCACGTCACCCTTCTACGCCATGTGTTAGCAAGTCCATGCGTTTTTGCAACAAATTTGCTTTTTCTCGTAAATCTATAAATACATATTCTTCTTCCTTCCATACAAAGTACAAACCCCCGACAATTTTACTTACAGAGATCAGAAATGGCCACCCAAAAGACCATGACCGACGCTCAGGCCGCCTTAGGTCAACAACAGGTATATATCGCGAACACCGTCTTCCCACGACATATCTAGGCTCGTGTTTGTAATTTCATAACAATTTCAATCTCATCTTTTTCTTAAACTTATGTATATATATGTTCACGGTGATGACAGTTGCATAGAGATGCAGCAACGAACCAACAATCTGCACAAAACGCTGGTATCATGGAACAGGTATTGTAATCTTACAGCGATCAATACAAATTTAATTTACGAGATCATTCAAAGTCGGACTGAAAATTGGAAATTTAAATCGATTGAATACGCGGTGTATGCAGACAGGGGATTCTGTGAAGAGGATGACACAAGGAGCGGCGGACATAGCCGGCGGAGCAGCAAGTGGGGTGCTGGGATTAGCACAAGGTGCGGCGATGGGAGCGGCGAACGTGGCTGAGGGTGCCGCCGGTGCCGTGAAGAACACCTTTGGGAATAATCCAGGCTCACAAAATAGTAACGCCCAATCCTAAATTTGAAGGCCTAAAACCTGTTGTTTATATATATTGTTTGATAAGAAAACATGAAAGAAAGAAAGAAAAAAAAAACAATAAGCTAATGAGTTGATTACTTTATTTAATTTTATATTATCAGTTATGGAGTATCTGTAGTATTTAATATTTTTTTTTTGTCAAATATAAAGTTATGTGCATAATTTGATATTTCCTTAATGTTGTTTAATTCATACAAATTTAATTTTGTTTCGAACATGAGGATTACATAAATTTGGTCCGAATTAATAAGTGGATCTAAGTTCCAAAGTTAATCATTAACATAATATATGCATGATTTTTTATTTGTACTTGTATATTGTATATTTTTAAGTACATATGAACGCTATGTATCAAACTATTAACTATATATGTTTCAATTAAGGTTGTTTAAATCATTATAAAAAAACATTACAAGGTTACAATTGGATCATATAAATAAGGTTATAGTTTCATTTCAATCAAACAAGATAAAAGAGAGACAATAACATTGATTTATACTCGTGATAGTTAAAACATAATAAATATATATAATTCATTGAAAAATATATTACGATTGGCATATGTTAAGCCTTAAACTTTAATTTGAATAAAAACAAGGGTTAATCATAAAAATATTATTGATTTGTTTCTGTTAAACATATCTTTTTTTTCATATGCAGCGCAAGCCAACAACACTGCCAAAATGCTGGTATTGTGGATCAGGTATTTGATTTAGGAACACATATATGTATGTCCATGTATTTCTTCAAATTTATGTGGATTGTGAATTTGTGATCCTATAACGATCAGTTTACAAGTTCATTCAAAATTAGACTAAAATAGGAGGTTTATCATGATTGAATTAATACGTTGTGTATGCAGACCAATGATTCAGTGAAAAGGATTGCAAATGGTGCAACGGACGTAGTTGGTGGAGCAACAAGTGGAGTGTTTGGATTAGCACAAGGTGTGGCAATGGGTGCAGCGAATGTAGCCGAGGGTGCGGCTGGTGCTGTGAAGAACACCTTTGGGAATAACTCAAGTTCACAAGATTGTAACGCCAAACCCTAAGTTTGAAGGCTTAAAACATGTTTATATATGTTGTTTGATAAGAAAAGATTAACTACGATATTAAAAAAGAATAAGAGTACACACTAAAGATGTCATGCATATAAGTTGGTTCACAATGATTAATAGACATTGGTATGTGACTAGGCCATTTCCAATGCATTAAACCCATGAAGAGTTTAATAGAGTGTCAACTAGGAGAGAGACTATATATAGTCAATTAAATTAAAAAAAAAAACCCACAACTTTTCATTATATATTATATTCAACCGTTCAATGGTAATTCAACTCCACATTCAATGGTGATTCAATTCCACATTCTCTCTCATCTATATTATATTCAAATTTATTCTATTAAACTCTCATTAAACTTCCATTGTGGATGACCTAAGAAAAAAATTACAAAAGATAAAGAGGGTCGAGAGAAAATAAATTATGGTCGAGAGCTTAATGGATATAGATACAGTAAAAGCAAAGCAAAGTAAAGTACTGGCACTATAGTAAAAAACTGATACTAGAATTAAAAGTCGATACGTTTCTAAAAAAAAGTAAAGAAGGGATATATATTATATATCAATGTTTTTTTATTCCGGCTTTTATTGTATTAGACTTGGGTATTATTTTGTAGTTATTTTATGAGATAATGACTTTTAACATAATTTTTTATTTATATATATTTGATCACTGAGTTTTTTTTTTTTTTTTTTTAAGTTTATATTTACCCTTTAACCTGTTAAGTTGTAAATATGTAATCCTTATGACTGGTTACTCCAGGTAAACCGGAAAAATATCTTAATATGTTATTATATTACTTACTTTGTACACATTTAGTCCTTAATGTTGTGTTACACATTTAATCTTTAATACTTTTTTGTTGCAAAATAACTCATTGTTTTCGTACATTCAATACTTATGACCAATTTTTTAGGTTTTTCTTACGAAATCCTACGTGGGATAATCCCTAATAAGGTGTCCCGGGTTGTTGATGCTTATGGTCACCGCGGTCTCAACTGCTTAGTTGCTTAGGTCTTATGTGTTAGCTTAGGTCTTATGTTATAAATGTCATAACTTCTTGTCCCATATATTAATAACCCCGAACACCTTATTAATTATTGTCCTACATACGATGTCGTGAGAAAAACTTAAAGAAATTTGTCATAAGTACTGAATGTGTACAAAAACAACATAAACTTATTTTGCAACAAAAAAATATTAAGGATTAAATGTGCATGTACAAAGTGAAAAATATATAACTCTATTAAGTTATTTTTCCGGCTTACTCGGTCATAAGGACTGAATGTGTACAGTTTAACAAGTTGAAGGGGTAATTGTGGATGGAAAAAAACTTAGTGACCATATATATACAAATCGAAAAATATATTACCATTTTATGTCATTATTCTTATCTTCTCATATCATAATAAAATATCCTAATAAAAGAGTGCTACTTTGCCACGTGACATCTTCTAAAGCCGTAATTAATAGTTATTCTAAGCCCATTGTTTTAAGCCATCAAATTTCAAAATGAAATACCTAATTGTTGGGTCGTATATGTTGAGCCATTGTGTATTAAGTGTTTAGTCTGTTTTTGTATAATGGGTTGGGCCTGTCCACCCGATTATTACTTATTAGGGTTTTACTTATTAAAGTGCATGCATGCACCGTATCTTGTAATCGTTAATCTTGTAAACCCTACACAACCTTTACAGTAGCAATTCTTCATCGAGCTCTTCTAAGGTTGTGTATATTAATCATTCGACACAACTTGATCTTCTTTCTGTGTTTTTGGTTCTGTACCTATTTAAATGTAACATCCTAAGTTCAAGAGTGCAAGTTCAGGGTTCAAGGTGTAAATGTGAAACGGCAACTCGGCGAGTCCATGGGTGGACTCGGCGAGTTGGTGTTGTATGGAGAAAACCCTAATCCCGGGGGTTGAGCCCTATATAATGAACATAAAACCCTCTTCCTAGCCTCTTTACCCTCTCTTGAAGTCCAGAAAACCCTAATGCACGTTTGTTAGTAATTTGAGAGCATTTGAACCTTGGAGAAGAGATTTTGGAAGAGATCTTGGAGAGTTAGGAGGCTTGGAGCAAGGGGCTTTGCTATGATTCAGATTTCTCTTCTGTTGGAGCTTCCTTTAAGGTATTATTTCATTGCTTGGGCTGTTATTCATCTAGATTCATCATTTTGGAGTATTTGGAAAGAATAGCTTGTGATATTTTGAGTTTGGAGGTTAGATCTGGGGTTGCTACCTCATATCTGGAATGGAGAAGGTCTAGAGTGCATTAAATTACCTGTTCTTGAGTGATTGGTGAAGCTATCTTGTCCCAAACCCTAACCCTAGAGTGTTATATGCTTAGATCTGTTTGAATTCACGTAAAGTTTGCCACTTTACGTGATGGATGGGTTGTATAAGGGTAGATCTATGTTTTGGATCATCTGCATGGTCTGGAAAGCTTTTGAATGGGTTAAGATCTAGGGGTACTCGGCGAGTCACAAGGGTGTACTCGGTGAGTTACATGAAGATGGGCAGGAACTCGGCGAGTTGGAAGAACAACTCGGTGAGTTGGTTGAAGATAGCGTTGGACTCGGCGAGTCTGTTCTTGGACTCGGCGAGTCTGGTCTTGAGGTCTTAGCCTTTCCTGGTTAAGCTAAGAATCGGTGAGTCAAGGGATGACTCAGTGAGTTGAGATGGGACTTTCATACAGTCTAAAGATCACAAAAATATGTTGAAACAACTTTTGGATGAAAATGACAAACAAAAATAAAATCTGATACTGTACAGTTGTAGGAATCTACAAGCGGGTACATAATCAAATTTATAGCTTGCTCCTTTGGAAAATCAACACCTTTTTTACCCATTCTATCAATGTATGGGTTTCATTTTGTCGACATATGCACACACCAAAGTTCCTTCTTTGTATTTACATGCAAATAAAGCTTTTATGATATCAGATATTTCTAGCCTCATGAGGATATAAATGAATAAGGGTTGCTCTTCTGGTTGATGAGGTGAAAGAGCGAGTGAGAGACGAGGGAGGGAAGTAAGAGAAAAATTACCATATCCAGACATCCGTTATTTGAGAGAAAGTTTTAGTTAGTTGACTAATCGTTAATATTTTAATCAAATTTAATATTTAAGTCTAGGATCCATATTTTTAATTCAAACTTTGAAGAGGGTGCCATAATCAAATTGTGAATTTATTTTAAGTGGGTAAGGACTTTACCAATTTCAATCTTATGAAATTCCTATACCTTTTGAGATTCAGTGAATCTTATCAAAGGCATGTTTAATCTCAGATTATACTCTCACCTTTGCGACTGGGGTGACGAGAATCATAGACGAGATGTGAATAACCATACAAACCCGAGGGACACCATCGACGTCATTTATGATCTCTCATTGACACGTCGTAACCACACACACACTCCATCAATAATCATAACTTCGAGTTTGTACCATCATTTCAACTTTGTTGTCCCAAGTTAGTATGTCGGTTAACCACACACACACCACTAATGACTCATAAAGAAACGATGTGTATTTTCATGTATTAACATATAATTTCATTTTTTTTCTTGAAGTAACTAGAGTGATATTTTATAGAATGTTCTAGTACTTTATATTATACCTTTAATGTGATTATTATCCTATCAAAACCCTTTCATCTAATGACCCTCCTCTACGTAAAGAAGTGGTAGGTGAAAAGGACACCCATTCGACAGTCATTTTATATGTCGTCTCCTTATATCTCTCTTTAGCATAGCTCTGTGAATGGGGGCCTACTCTTGGCTAGACTCACAATTATTAGTCTTACACGTATAGTATTATAAACTTTAACAATATATAAGGGTGTATTTTAAACATTTTAAACATTTTTTAAATACAAGGTTGGAATCTAATTAACTAATTTAACATTTAAATTGTTATATTCAAATATTTAAGATTAATAATATTTTACGGATTACGATTATCTTAATTAATCTAATAACTAAATATATAAATTCCATAATTATCTTCCTAGTTTTTCGAATTCTGGATTTATCATATTATTTAATTCAAACATCATATTTTAATTTGATTAAGATAACTATTACATACTCCCTCCGTCCCATAATAATTGTCCACTTTTAAATTTTGAAGTCCTTATTCATCAACTTTGACCTTAAATATTGTTATTTGTGTTATGTATTACTCGTTGAAACTTATAGCAATGAAAAAACATTTAAAATACAATCCATTCATAAATTTTGCATTAAGTTTTATATATCAATGGCAAAAATATTTAAGGCCAAAGTTGAAGAATAAAAACTTCAAAAGTCAAAAGTGGACAATAAATATGGGACAGAGGTAGTATTAAGCAATTATCCTCCAAGACGAAACATAGATAAAAAGCTCGGATTTGTTAGACCGGGAGGCACGCCGTGCCCAATGAACAATTGGTATAATTCGATTTTTTTTTCTTCAACTATACACCTATAATGGAAAGCACCCCAGGCTCTGATACCACCATTGATGGGTTTTATAAGTTACATTAAATATATTTGCAAAAAAAATTAACACATAATCTAATTATATGCGCATACTACCTATGGGTCTATGTCTATACACATTATAACAACATAACATTGAAACTACTATAAACCCTACGCATAATCGAATTTCTCAGATATAATAACATACCTTTAGTCTTACAATTGTATGTATCACTCTTGATCCTTAATTGATCTTCAAAAAGCTAGCACCAAAATTATGTCTGCCTCTAATGGCTCACACCCGAACCTAGAAACTATGAAATCGATTGAGAGAGAGAGAGAGCGAGAGAGAATAAGATGGTTTTCAGCCTAGGCTTCTCAAGGGATAGATAGTTGGCCAGAAAAATACAACCCTATGGGTCTTTATATGGTAGCGATATTAAAGGATAAATCCTAATTTGGATATTAAAATAATATATTTTACTCCTTATTCAAATCAATTTCTTTATATGCATTTGGAGGCTTCT